CATTGAAATGGCTTCCTCTATGAATGGTTTTCATACGAGTGCCCGCAACATTGAAATGGCTTTCCAGGCCCTTTSYAGGACTTGGYCCCGTCKTAGCACGTRACCAATTCCAAGGCTTCGGTAAGATATACTGCTTATATGCGGCTACATAGCTACGTATTTCCCATATCGTTTCCCACTCATACTAAAACCCCTCCATGAATCTTTCTCACGCGTCAGTCATGTTGACTAGAAAAATACATTTTCCACCGCCGGCATGGCTGGGCATTCAAACGCTTCAAGAAGAGGTCAATCAGTCGGGTTGTATGAGTTGTTCGGAAGTTCAAGAAAAACTGGATTGAGTTGTCATTACAGTGCATTTTGGGACTATTTTAGAGGACGAAATAGCCGCCATCTTGGAAATATTTTTCCTGGAACAGTACCACAATGCAGTGCAATGCCAACTCGACCTAGTTTTTTCCTCAACCTCGGAACGGCCAATACAAACAAAAGTTTTTATTCTTTTTGCTGAACCCCAGCTACGTCCAACGCCCCCTCCCCCCCCAAAAAAAAGAAAAAGAAAAAGAAAAGAAAAAAAAACCCCACTCCGAACGAATGATTGAAAGTTCATTAAGGCCACTTCTACTTCCTGTTCCGAGTAAATACCAACGGCGAAGATTGGATTTAGTTTGTGGGGGACAATATTCAGTATTCTTATATCCGCCGTAAATAATCGATTCATTTGATAATRAACTCGCTAATGAACGATGAAGCCCCTTGCAGAGCCAGCCTGCCGAAACCAGCTGTTTGTTTCAGGCTTTAATTTATCAAATGCGAACTAATCTTTTGCCAAAATAAAATTTTGCGGTTTTGAAAATAAAAATCGTGAATAAATGTCATTACTGTGGGTTTAAAAAAATTTTTTTTACGATTGCCGTTATTTCTATAWATCTATTATATAACAGCTTCTATAATCCAACCGTCGACCCCATCATAGCCAYATGTGTTTGCGCCAAAAAGAATGTGTAGCTTCGCCTTATACGAATCGCTGTTTCTCGCCAATAAGTTATTAGAGACAACAAAACACGGGGATAAAAAAAAAAAAAAGTTAGAATTTGTGTAGCTAATGCCTTATTCTAGTAATTTTTAAATCATATATTAAATTTGTGTTGTTTTTTTTTTCATTTCATACTATTAAATTAGAAAAATAAGAGACTTATAAGATATTGTAAAAAAAACTGATCAAGCTTACCTTTGGAATAAGTTTTTTTTGTGAAAATCGCTCGCTATTTGTTCACTAACTTCGGAAATACTGGAATTGGATAGAAAACCAAGACTATTGTTACTTAATAGAATATCATTTCTTTCAATTAGATACCTTATCGGGAAATGACAGAGCATAAAAGACGCCGAAGTCAAACAGAAAGTAAATATTTCGACTGCCAAACAGTAAATCGAGAGATTTGTAGTGTCGACGCGTGGTTTAAAAWAATCGCAAATTCTATTCAAAAAAGAAAAGAAAGAAATCTACTTGAAAACTTGATTTTAATCTCAAATATTTCCCCCAGCAACACCTTTCAATGTGAAATTGTGAAACTACGGAACTAAAAAATAAAACACATGAATTAATAAAAGCCCAGACATGTTGGCGACGAGAGCGCGCGTCTATCCGCGCCCCCAAAGCCAAAAACGTTTTGGCGGGAAAATACCATCACAATCTCAGCTAAAAAAAAACGTGTTGAAATGAATTTTTGTTGACTTATTTATCATTATTATTATCATTTATTATTATTATTWTTWTTWTTTGAATTTTAATCATGGTATTCTCTACGAAAAAGTTTTGCGCTTAATTTGTTTTGAAAGTAAATTTTCTTTTCAATATTCATTTCTTCACCGGCAGACGATTTTGCATGATCTAAAAGTAAATATCTATTCAGCTAAATRATCAGAATATGTCAGGCGACATTTCAAAAACCAACACAAATCCTCTCCAGAGGAGAGAACAAAACAGACACCGTAAAAGAGATTCATTYGGTCGGTCGGGACCTTCAAAGGAGAGCTCGATACACGCTTTTTCCAGCTGTGGTGTCTGTCTTGTTCAAATAGTTATTTACGCAGATAAACTGAAATCTCAGGAATCCTTTATACAGAACTACTTCTTTTTCAACTCCTTCAAATAAACTTATCCCTGTATTTTCTTCTTAAAATAACTGATCTTTATACTGAATAGAAGCGGGGGGAAACAGCCTCGCTGTCATTGAGCTTTTAATGGCCGCAAAAGTACAAACTTTAGTCAAAACCTAAACTCTATTCAAAGTACGGTCTGCGTCTATCATCTCCTTGAAAGAAAACTTAACTTGCGCAAGCAAGGTCGCTTCCTTAAGTCTTCATCTACCACCCAACGCAATCAGCCTAGTTTTTCCGGATAATAAAGTTCAGATCCCTTTTAAGGAGGCATCCTTATCCCATCTTTCTTTTCTCTTCATTCCCGCAAAGTTGAGGGCGTGCGATTTTTGCTTACATAATCTATCTTTTATAAAATACTTAGCATTAATCTCGTCCTCCTAAGTATAGAAATCCTACCCGCGCATGAACCTGAAACATTATCTCGATTTTCCATTAACTTCACTTCTATTTTACGAGAGAATATTCTATTATTGAGTCAGCTGAATCAACAGGTCTGGCCTGTCATGAAGTTCGCTCCAATGGGATGAGATATGCTACAGTTACATTTAATAATTCAAACCACACGTTGGTTCATCGCGGGAGGTAAAAAGAGGACGTCAACGCTAATTTAAGAATGTATGACAATAGGCCGTTTTCTCAAGGTTGCGTGCGCATCCAAATTTAAGGAACTTGACGGGCCGCGATAGCAGAACACGAGTATTATCATGTATTGCTATGAACTTTTTTCGATAAGAATTCATAAAATCGATTATTCTTCTCTTTAAATATAAAACTGGTTTCTCAATTGTACTGAATTTGCGTTTTTTCAGTTTTGTGGCCCGTTAAGTTGGATGCGCACGCAACCTTGAGAAAAAGGTCTATTGAGTTTTGATTATATTCAAAAGAAATCAAGAATTTGGTCAGCTAAAAAATGAGTTAGGCCTAGGGCAAACGTCGAACTTTCCATGCAC